AGGTTGTGAAGACATCACTGGGCAGTATCTTAGTGGAGCTGTCTAGCATCAAGGATTTGCTGAACTCTACACTTGACAACGACCAGGTATCGCAAGCATGCGTACTTTGTACATGTGTTTCCTACTAATGTGTATGTGTACTTTTATGTCTAAATTTATGCATGTATACCTACGTTTAAGGGTGTCTGCCGGTCTGAATGCGTGTGTATATGATTGTATGTGTATTTTTGTCTGGTGAGTGTGTGTGCCTGGTGTGTTTGTGTCCTTGGATGTGTCTGCATGCACACGTGCTTGTATGTATGTGTGTGACTGTCTAATTGAGTGTGTATGTCCCTATGCGTTGTGTACGTTTGTCAGTCTAGTGTGTGTGTTTTTTTGTGTGTCTGTCTAGTGTGCGCTCTCTTATTTTTCTGTCTACTTAATTTCTACTGAGACAAATATACTGTGATTCACTTCTAGTCAGTGTGTCGGGTAGGCAGGTTTATTGTTTTAGTCGTAATTAGGGCTGTACCGAATATTCGCTTCGTATTCGCTTCGTTGTCGAAAAATGAACCTGTTGACTATTCGGTATTCGGCTGAATAGTTGCAGTCGGCCGAATACGACTAGTAGTTACCTCACATCCGCTTCTGCATAAACGGCCTTAATGTTGACAACATGGACAATTGGTTTTGTTGAAAGTTATTGCATATTTCATGCATTAACTAAGCTGTCAGTGACAATTTCCAAGTTCAGTTACTTGTTATAATACTTTGGATTCTTTCATTCCTAGTTATTAGTTACCACAGACTGACTAAAGGATGCAAAACATAATGTTTTTAAATGCTTACTATTCTGTACGAATACTAACTAGACATGGAAAGAATTTAAACTCCGGCCACATCAAAGTCGGCGGCGTTCGTGGCTAACGCGTTGCGAGTCCGACTCGTGGATTTAGTCGTGGTATGGGAAGTCGCAGGTCGACCCAGCCTAAAATGGGTACCAGGATGGGCTGTCCTGGCAAAGTAAAGACAGCCGGCGTAATGCTGACCACATTACCCACAGAGTGCTGATGGTCTGTAAAAATATGGGACGCTCTGCCCATATGCCCGATGCGCCGAAAGGCGTGAAAAGGGATCTTTACTTTACTTTACTTACATCAAAGTCGATAATATGAAAATCAAACAAACGGAAACATATAAGTATTTGGGTGCTAGCTTCAACTGCTCCAACATGCTGAGAGAAGAATTACATTCTAGAATACCATCTAGAAATACAGTATACTATGCCCTTCAACATCTGCTAAAGTCAAAGTGTCTGTCTCGCAACACCAAGATCAAAATATATAAAACGTTGATAAGACCATTCGTTTTATATGGCTCTGAAACTTGAAGCCTAAATAAAAGAGATGAGGCCTTATAATAGGTTTTCGAAAACAGTCTCACGACAAATATTTTGACCCATCAAAGATGCTAACAGCGGGGAATGGAGAGTGAGAAGAAACAACGTGACACATTATATGTGTAAATCCCCATTGATCACTGATCCATGAGAGTTAACAGACTAAAATGGTTGAGGCATATTGAAAGAATGTTAGATGACAGAGAAGTAAAAACTGTATACACTTGAGAGACGAATGGGCGTAGACCACGAGGCAGACAAAAAAAAAAAAAGGTGTTCGAGAGATAATGTGCAGCCAGACCTGCAAACAACTGGTGTCACAAATTGTGAAGAGAAGGCCAGCCAGAGAGATGAATAGAGACGAGTGATATCTGCAGCAGTAAACCTCAAGGGCTGAGAATGCTGAATACGAAGATGACTATTCTGTGCTACATTGTGTGAAGTAAACGTTCAGCGTACATTTGGGGGGAGGGGGGGGGGGGGGGATATATTTTAAACGATATACACTTTTCGTATTCGTATTCTTCCAAATAGTTGGTCCCGCTATTCGTATTCGGCCGAATAGTGAAAATCACTATTCGGTACAGCCCTAGTCGTAACACATTTTTGCTTTGGACAATAGTTAACGGTTGTAATTTCCTTCATATGTTATTTGGAGAGATGTATTTCCGTCGCCAGCTACTGCGTTTAGTGTGTTGAACGACACTGTGATCTGTGGATTTCAATTCGAATGCTTTTCGACTGTGCGGAACGTGGTTTTATGTTGTTATCTGTAGTCTTAAATAAATGGCGACTGGCCTGTTGACAGAGTACTGGCGGTGGATTATGCTGTTAATCGCCTGTGCAACTACTGACCTGTTGTCACTGCTGTTTCTATCCACGACGAATTACATTTCTATTGTCTGGTTATTCATATGGACACTTCTGACAGCTGCTTAAGGCGTGTTTGTGTTGTCAGCTTTGCAAGTTACAGACGTTCTGTGTGATTCTGACACAGAAACAGAGCAACTATGGGGGTGACCTGTTTTCCATGAAAGAAGCTAGAACTGCGACTACCCGATTAATTGTGCCATACACCATCGCGACCCTCTTAATTCCCAGACCTTTTCCTTGAAATATTTTAGACCGTATCGAGGTGGGAGCCAAAGTAAATTATAAAAATGTTTTAAGATGCTGACTGGAAGCCGAGACTGTTGAGCCGATAGTAAGCGCCTATCGACAGCTCTGCTACAGCTCTCTGTGTGAGAATCTCGTGGTTATAAAACACCAGAACACAAGCGAAGGAAAGATTGCGTATGCTTTACAAAGTCGTGACGTGATCTGAGTTGCTTAAATTAGGCTATAAAAATGTATTGCACAATTTATGGCCTGGCATTTGTCTCTATATTCGTTCGTTCGTTAGAAATAAAATTAAAAAAAGTGAAAAATCTTACGCTTCAGCGTGCCACTGGGACTTTGCTTTATTTGCGTCTTCCTTTCTGAGCGGTTTTGATATTGATTGGTGACGTGTACACACGCCTGCTGGTTTCTGCAACACTGTTTGGGAGTGGATGCCTACTAGTCCTGAAAAGGACTAGTAGAGTGTGCCAGGGCGGCCTCGAACAGGTGGGAGGGATTGGGTTCGGCGGTTGACATCATGCCTGGCTGGTGGCGAGCTGTGGGGAGCCGGTGAGCTGGATAGGTGGGGTGTCATGGCGGCATGGCTAGTTCTGATTGGCTGTTTGGCTTTGTGGTTCCTTGGTCGGGCTAGCTCGTCTGCTGGGTTCTTTTTGGTCGGCTTTGTCTGGCTTAGTATTGGCGGCGACTGTTCGGTGTTCCCTGCATCTTTTGTTTCCTTTTCGTTGTTTTTATCCGTTCATAGGCTTCGTCCACCTGGTTCCAGTACCTATTCAATTTTTCATAGAAGGCTTTGCTTTTTTCGTCGGGTGCGAGAACATCTTTTGCCAACACCTCCTGGTCATGGTTGATATAGTAGCGGCCTTCATAAATTTCGATATTGTGCGGGAGAACTTGTTCGTTGATGGTTTTTACCAGCTTTTTTAGGCCGGCCTCGCTGATGTCCTTGGGGATTACGATTTCTTGTGCTTCTAAACATATTGTGGTCTCCTCTGCGATCGGGATGGCTTCTGTGGTGCTGCTTTGGTCCGTGGTGCGTGTTGTTTCTGCGGACTGCGCTACTTTGCTTTCATCTGATTGGGTCTGGTCTTCTTCCCCCTGCACATTCTGTTCATCTTCCAGGATTTTCTCGGCTGGCACTCTTCTATCTTCCTCCATCGTTGCTTTGTATTCTTCCTCCTGCGTTTTTTCTGCGACAGTTTGTTTTGCTTTCTGCGCTTTTTGGTGGTTTTCGATGGATTGCCTTTTCCTTTCCACTTCTTTCTTGGCGCTTTCTCTGGCGGCCATCACTTTATTGGTGGCTTGCAGTGCGGCGCTCAGTTTGGTCAATTCTTCCTTTGTCTGGCTAGCTCTGCTTTTGTTTCTTTCGATTCTTTCTTGGCATCGGCGACATCAGATATTAGGTTTGTATGGTTTCTTTGAATCTCTTTGGTAGATTCGGCGTCAACTACTTTCATCTTTTTGAGTTCGGTGAGCATCGCCATCAATTCTGTCTTGAATGCCGTCATTTCAACATTTTCTCTCTCCAGTCTTCTTTGGGTTTCTATTGAGGATTGTATGATACTTCTTAGATCGTTCATTTCATCTCTATCCTGGATCCTTAATGCCTTAATTTTAGCGTTTTCTTCCCGGAGGGTTTTGATTTCGTCCCTCATAAGCGTGATCTCCTTGCTCGTTATGGGTGGTGCAACTGTCGAGCTAGGCGCCTGGAATCTTCGGTTTGGTTCTGGTTTGTGCGCGGACCTGCTGGTGGAGCAGTTGGATCACTTCCTACTTGCATTGGGTTTCCTGAAGTCTGGGTCCACTTTTGCCAGGGGGCACTCTTTGAAATCATGTGGGCCGGCGCAGAACCGGCAAATTGGGCTGCTGCAGCGGGAACACTGGATAATTCCTGAGTGGTAGGATCAATGCTGCTGTTGGTGGCGCATGCCCGTGGTTCTTACAGGTTCTGTCGTGGCTGCGGCAGTGACTGGTGGTGTCTGGTCTGGTGTCGGTGCCTCGACAGGTGCTTCATCTACAGTTGGACATAATAGGCTGAATTAGCAGTAACAATAACCGGACACGAAAAGACATGGAGTGAGCTGTGTGATATTAGAAAGAGTAAAACGCTTGATGCGAGTTGGTTGTAGGTCTATGCTCCAGCTGGGTTACAAAGGAAATAAGGAGATGAAGGCGACGAAGGACTAGAAGGAGGAGGTGAAGACTGACGGAGAATAAGAGGGAGCGATGTTTAATGAAGGAAGCGAAGGGGGGAGACCAATGGCTGCGATAGCATTGGCAGTAAAAGTGATGAAGTAAAGATTGCCGCTACAGCAGCAGCTCATACTACTATTATTATTAATACTACTTCTAACACTACTTTATCATGACTACTACCACTACAACTACTATAATACTATTCCTAGCACTACTATACGATGTCTAATACTACTATTGTTACTACTACCACCACTACCATCACCACTTCTATAAAATTACTAATACTACTGCTACCTCCACTACTAAAATGCCATTACAACTACCACCACACTACTATAACTACTATTACCACCACCACCACCATCACCCCAGCTGTGCTATTAGTGCTGCTGTTACCACTACACCTCCTATCAGATCGCCAAGGTATGTGTATTTTCAGTGCGCACGTGTGGCTATTTACCATATCCTAAAACCTCTCTTCTTATTTCAGCATCACGAAAGCTCGTGTTACCAAGGTATGCCTCACATAAGTCCCAGAGAGAAGTTTGTCCTGCAAGGGAAGCTCCAGGGGCTGTGTGACACCGAGACTGATGGTGGAGGTTGGGTAATCATTCAGGTGATTTGCATATGATTCAATTTCACTCAAATCCCCTTGTGGGTTCTGGAGCCCCATTGTGGTGGGAGGAGGGGGGGGGGGAAGAGAAGACTCATTGCACCCAAACAAGCATGTCGTAAAAGTTGACTTATTAGGGATGTTGTTTCCTTGGCAGTCAGAGTTCATCAGCCAGAGAGGTGAGGAAGCAACAGCCTGCACACAGATAAGCCAGATGTCTAAAACCGATGTGCACATCTCACGTTCTGAAACAAGATTAAAAGCCAGAAGTGGACGAACAGCCACGACTTTCCACGGGAGTTTAAAGCCGGTGGACGCAAAGAAGGAAGAAGAAGATTTCAACTAAGCAATCATCTTCCGAGATCAAAGTTTGCCATGCGTTTATTCCACGATTAGTCGCGGTCAGTATGGGTGCGCTGGAGGACTTCGCCAGCTCCGCATGAGTGTAGCAGCGTCCGGCAGCGGAAGTCTGTTTCGCTCTAAGCTACTAAATTAAGTGCTTGGTTCAACACTTGAGCTGTGCTTTTTTTAAAAATAGTGAGGGAAATTTTATGTGATTTTCATTGGCACAAAAACGGAGCAAGTAAGGTGTGATCCCATTGCAGTGAAGCTAAAACCTCTCCCCGTGTGGGCCCTGGGCCCCTATTTAGAGGAAGGGGGCAGACACACCGCCTCCTCAACAAGCATGTCGTAGGAGTAAACTAATTGGGAACTTCCATCGAAGTCGTAGTGCATTTGAAAGAGAGGAAAGAACAGCCAGCTGCACACAAATCAGCCAGTAAAACAAATATATACCCAACTCAGGCGCTGGCGCAAAGGCGCAGTCCAGTGGACGAACAACCAGGAATTACAACCGGTGAACAAAGAAAGAAGAAGATCGAGCATTTCTGTCAAATGTGATAAGGGGTGGTTGAATGTTTAATAAGTTATGCAAACAATTAAAATAGTAAAGTTATAATTAAAATAAAAGCTTTGTAGTTTTAGGAAGTTTTCTTCTTCTTCTTCTTCTTCTTCTTCTTCTTCTTCTTCTTCTTCTTCTTCTTCTTCTTCTTCTTTTTCTTCTTCTTCTTCTTCTTCTTCTTCTTCTTCTTCTTCTTCTTCTTCTTCTTCTTCTTCTTCTTCTTCTTCTTCTTCTTCTTCTTCTTCTTCTTATTCGCGTTCGTCGGCGTTAACTCGGGCGAAAAAGTTCTGGTTCTTCGTCCACTTCTGGACTCCAGTCCTGTTTCAGAAACTAAGTGTAAAGTGTACATCCGTTTCACAGGTCTGAGCTATTTGCATGCAGTCTGTTGGTTCCTTGCTTCGCAATCAGATGTACTCGGACTTCGAAGGAAGCTCCCAATTAATCGACTCTTACGATATGCTTTAAGGTATGCATTTAAGAAGTATATTGAATGAACTACATTGTTGTTTGAGCTGTGTTATTGCATAAAACATGTGTTTTATACATGATGCTGTAAAGGGGGAGTATGTTGTGGGAAGCAGGTATTACGAACAGTGTTGAAATAAGGCCTAATCTAAAGAAGCCACAGCTTAGGCCCTGACAATCAGCAGGTAGGTAGGTAGTTGTATCCCTTCAGGACTTTACACAAGCGATAAACACGTGATGACACAAAGTGCCACCATGCGGATGAGGATCACCTGTGGAGAGGTCCCAGAAACCTCTTTCAGTCGTCAAGCCATGTCTATGGCTAGGCCATATCTATACCCAGGCTATTTTCAGGGCCCCAGCAGAAGCCAGGGTGGGGCTTCAAATACAAAAAAAAGTTGTATACCACATGGGGACGACTTGATTGTGCTCGTGCATTCGACAATCAGCTGTGGCGTAAAACAAATTCCTATATTTTCTACAGAGGCACTTTATTTTATACTGAATTTTACAGGTCAGGATAGGGAGGCAGAGGGATGTTTATTTTTCGACTAGCATCTATCAGAGGTCAGTTTCGGACATCCTAGAGTGGACGTTGTGTTGAACTAGTCTAAATGTGATAGTCTTGTTCAAGTGTTACCTTCTAGGAAGTTTAAAAACACTATGACTGTTCTAGCAAACCGACAGTGGCTTTTTTATAATGCTGGCATAAAATGAAGAGAATGCAAGAATGTGAATATGTACATTAAAAGAACACTGTTTAAGACAATATTCTTAACAACGCTCTGCTATCAATGTCAAATATGGACACTGTCTTCAAAAGACAGAAGGAAAACAGTCAGGCCAGAAATGAAATGTTTACGTACTTAGCTGGGCGTAACAAAATCGACTTTAAAAAGATGATATCAGGACGAAAGTCGGCACAGAACCAATACAGAACTTTATGGGTAGACAACAAATCAAATGGTTTAGCCATGTAACAAGATTGGCAGCAGACAGGGCACCACAGGGAGCAATATTTGTACAGATACAGCGGTAACAGAGCTAGAGGTCGACAACGCAGAAAAATAGCCGCAGAAATATCAGACACTGAACAAGTACAACAAACAAAGCGAACAGAAGGGCGCGTTCTAGAGATCTCTTCCTCCTTTGAAGCTGCGAGCCATTCCAGGAGTAGAGAAAAGAAGATTTTACAAAAATTCTTACTTGTTGTCGCCTATTGAAATAAAATAAAATAATCGGCATGGTGTACGTAACAATGAAGTATTTTGCTTTTAGGAAATAAAAAATAAAAAAATAATAATTACTCAGTTCAAAGTTGCCTTTTAGAGTATTACTTGTGATTTTGCAAATACATTTTTTTTTTAAAAATTTCTCTTGGTAGAGAACGTCAATATATTTCACATGCTCATATATTTAAGGTTTGAGGTTTGAACAACCGATCAACATCATGGCACCAAGGGTAGTAACCAATAAGTGCTCCGTTTTTCCTCTAACTTAAGTCTGAGCCGCAGAAAATCAGCACAATGCACAGGCTCGGTAGCACCCGCGAGGATCATGAACAACTTTGGGTAGATTTTTAACTCAAAATTTTGCGCGGGCAGCGCCGTTAGGCTACTCTTTTCGATTTCCAACTGCCACTGTATTTTTACGAATTAATCAAGTAACAGAAAGTGTATTGATGGGCACTCATAGAAAGAAGTAGAAAGATAAAACAAAACGCTAGACAACATAAAAATCGAAAGCTATAGTTACCGTGCCGGGAATTGAACCTGTCACCTCCGGACGGCGTCTGCGCCTCGCCATGAATACAAGTGCACTAAGAAACATGGTCAACTAGGCACTCCCAAAAAAGGTGTCTTAATGGCCATGTCTATCGTACAACTCGAAATCCACAACTATGGAATACGGACAGAATTCATTTCGACCTATCAAAGATGGCACCATAGGTTACATAAAATTATATTAACGAAGCAAATGTCGAATAACAATCACAGCAACAGTTTACGAACACAGTAGACCTTATTGCTTTGTCTAGAATACACAAACATATAAAAAAGGTATTTGATTGGTAGTTCCGGTGTGTATACGTCATTCCTATAAATAAACAATTTACACGGACGTCCGATCTCTCTACCCTGAGACCAGGGGGATTACATATTTATGTGTGTGTGTGTGTGTGTCTTGAGGTCTAGTCAAGTGTAATTCTCTCTCTCTCTCTCTCTCTCTCTCTCTCTCTCTCTCTCTGTGTATATGAACTATATGGTGTGAACTATGTTGTTGTCTCAATGTGTATGAAAACTACAAAAAAACCTTTATATGCGTAACCGTATTTTATTCTGTTTATTCAATGGTCGTCTGATGCCTTGCCTCCATTCCCGCCCTCAGAGACGTGTGCGAGGAGATGTAGACTTCTATAGAGGCTGGGATTATTACAAGAGAGGGTTTGGAACACCAGACACCGACTTCTGGATTGGAAATGACATTATTCACAACCTCACCTCACAGGTAAGTGTAACTTTTATAGCTTTTTGTTTCTCATTGCACGTTTTTTTTTTTTTTAATTTATTAGCTACGATTTGGGTTGTTAATGTGGTCACTAATGCACGGAGAAGGCAGATATGTAAATATCGCACGTCCACTGCAAAATCCGAAGGTCAGTTGTGTTCAAAATAATAATAATAAGAAGAAACTGTCGATTTAATATAATAAGAAGTTGCTCTTCTTCTTTTTCTTTGATCCTTCTTTGATCCTTCTTTGATCCTTCTTTGATGCTTCTGTCAAAGAACTTACATCATATGGCCGGTAGCTTTTATGAAAGCTGTGGTGCAGTTCATATCTTCCTGAGAACCATACAGCTTTGTCCTCATTGTGGTTGCATCAAGCCAAACTGCTTCTCTGTTGGCAGCGGAGAATGTGAGAATAGTAATGGCTTCGTGACGTTTGTTCTGAAATAATTAGTTATTTTTGTGTGTGAGTATTTTTTTCGAGAAAGAGCCAAAACTTTCTGTCCCACGCAAGTCCATGGAGCCACACTGGCAAACATGATTCGTCATTATTCAGTTAAGATTATCATCATCAAAATAATTATTATCATCGTGTAACAGACTTTTACAAAACTTTGCTCCAGTCAGTATACTAACAGAAACTCGGTCCCCTAATCAGCTCTTCTTTTCGTTCTCGCCTCCAGTCCTATCCCCACGTCTTCTTTTCTTCTTCTTCTTCTTCTTCTTCTTCTTCTTCTTCTTCTTCTTCTTCTTCTTCTTCTTCTTCTTCTTCTTCTTCTTCTTCTTCTTCTTCTTCTTCTTCTTCTTCTTCTTCTTCTTCTTCTTCTTCTTCTTCTTCTTCTTCTTCTTCTTCTTCTTCTTCTTTTTCTTCTTCTTCTTCTTCTTCTTCTTCTTCTTCTTCTTCTTTTTCTTCTTCTTCTTCTTAGTCTTCTTCTTTTTCTTCTTTCGTTGGCTTTAAATAGTTTATCTGTATATGCCATTTTATCTCTAGTATGAACTTTACTGTTTTTTTTTAAAATTTACTCAGCCATCCATCCTGGCTTAACACTTAAACCTCAACGACGGTGTCTGTTAAGGAAACAAGTTAGCTGCGTATCCCTTTCAGGACGTTGCAGAACCAATCCAAGCATTTATTGGCTGCTAATGTTTTTCTAAGCACACTTAAAGTTTAATAGTTTGTCACTGCTTACTGAAAGGTCAAATCTCGGTACCACTGTCGAAACGAACGCAAGACGTTCTGCTGCCAAATCACATGCAGCTGGGATCGAATCCGTCTGTCGGGCATTTCAAATTGCGTTCGCAACGCTTAACACACATACATCGACTTATGTAACTACTTTACTTGAATCCATTTTAAGCTAGCCTAGTTTTTATGTAACAACCATCGAAACCAATGTACTATTGTTTGCTATATTCTGTGATATTTTCAGGGTTACAACGAACTCCGTATCGACTTCACCTACAAGGGGACCCAATATTTTGCTCAGTATGCAAACTTCAATCTCGGCGATGAGTCATCTCAATACCTCATGACGGTTGGTGGATATTCCGGAAACGTCTACGACAGCATGAGCTACCATAATGGCTACAAATTCACTACTTTTGACCGGGACAATGACCCGAATGACGGATAACTGTGCCGTGGCTTTCCATGGGGCTTGGTGGTACAACGGGTGTTACAATGCGAATTTGAACGGGGCCTGGTCAGTGACAGACGGCCCGGGTATTGCTTGGTATTTTGCTGCTGGTGCTAACCGGATAGATTTGTCATTTACAGAGATGAAGATTAGGAATATTTAGAGGAGAAATCCCCTCCCAGTACCGCTACTAACAGTCTGTACCCATGTCAATCATCTTGTCTGAATGTTATTCTGTTACTGTTTTGGTCCAGAAATATTTACAAACATATAGACAGGCTTCAGTGGGTGAGTGTGTCTGGCCATAGCCATATCGAGGGATTATGGTTTTAGCTTATTCCAAAACAATATTGTCTTACCTGGAAATGTGGGTGTCACGTTTAAAATTGAATTATTTATAAATGACCCGCGACCAGGACGATAATTCTTCTTCTTGTTCTTTATCTTCCTCTTCTTCTTTGTCTTGTTCTTCTTGTTCTTGTTCTTCTTGTTCTTCTTCTTGTTCTTCTTGTTCTTCTTGTTCTTGTTCTTGTTCTTCTTGTTCTTCTTCTTCTTCTTGTTCTTCTTGTTCTTCTTCTTCTTCTTCTTCTTCTTCTTCTTCTTCTTCTTCTTCTTCTTCTTCTTCTTCTTCTTCTTCTTCTTCTTCTTCTTCTTCTTCTTCTTCTTCTTCTTCTTTTTCTTTTTCTCTTCTTTCTTCTTCTTCTCTTCTTCTTCTTCTTCTTCTTCTTCTTTCTTCTTCTTCTTCTTCTTCTTCTTCTTCTTCTCTTCTTCTTCTTCTTCTTCTTCTTCTTCTTCTTCTTCTTCTTTCTTCTTCTTCTTCTTCTTCTTCTTCTTTCTTCTTCTTCTTCTTCTTCTTCTTTCTTCTTCTTCTCTTCTTCTTCTTCTTCTTCTTCTTCTCTTCTCTTCTTCTTCTTCTTCTTCTTTCTTTCTTTTTTTTTTTTCTTCTTCTATTTCTGCATTCGACATCAGTCATGCTAAACATTGAGTTCCGTCTGGGTCACAAAAAAAATTATGCTTTTAAGGTCGCCACTAGTGCCCTTAGCTTCTCTTGCAATGTGGGCCCTTTGGGCCAGATCCACTGTCTTTGCTTGGAGAAGTTAGGGCAGTACTGCAGTATGTGCTCAGGGGTCTGTCTTTCTGCTCCACAATCACAGGCAGCAGATTCTTTTATGCCTATCCTGTGCAGGTGCGCTCGAAGACCACAGTGTCTGTCTGTAGTCTAAAAATTGATGTTTGTTCTTTCCTGTTAAGTTTGTTTATGCTGTCACGCTATGGTCTGTAATCTCTATTGTGCCTTCTCCACACCCGCTTCAAAGACTGCTTTAGCGCTGTTTTGGTTTCCTTGTAGCTGTGTGGTGGACGAGGTTGTGGAAGATTACTCCCAGCTTTTGCCAACTCATCTGCTCTCTCATTTCCTTGAATACCACAGTGGGCTGGTATCCACTGCAAGACCAGTTCTGCTTCCTTGGAGAGTAAGCCAATGTTGGTCCTTAGATCTGCTATTAGTTTGTTTTGTTTTTTACTTGATAGTGCTTGGAGAACAGACAATTTGTTCTTTTTTTTGGGGGGGGGGGGGGGGGGAGAGGGGGGGGGGGGGGGAGAGTAAAATGATGCTGTGCTTTTTGAATTATTTAGCTTTAGACCCCACTTTTCGGTCTAGGCTTCTAGATTTTCCACACTTTTGTGTAACAGATATGAGGCTGTGGTAGTGTATTTGGAAGCTGTCTAAACTGCAAAGTCATCGGGTATTAGAAACGTGGCAGGTTACTGGTATGACATTTATACAAAATAGGAACAGAGTTTGTGCTATCCTTCCATTCCCAGCAAGTTCGGTGCCTCTGCAAAAAAATCATGGAAGTGAAAAGGAGGCACTAAGAGTCCTTGTAATGTTGTAGGCAGCAGGAGCTTCAAAGAGACCTAGGCGATGTTTAAGTGCGCAATAATAATAATGGCAATTATTGATGAACGGGAAAACATATAACAAAACATGAAATAATATAAAAATGTATTCGCAATCACTTGCAAAGTGAATGTGTAAACATATTTTGTGGGAGCAGCCGTTGTGGTGGTAAAAATCTCGCCCGCGAATGCGAAGGTGGTGTTTACGGTAAATTTAAAAAAAAAAAAAAAAACATAGTACCAAAACATGTAAAAAAATTAACATCCGATTAGGTCTGTTTGAAACTGTACATGTAAGAATCTGGGTTCATCTGGGTAACGATTCGACATCACAGCACTCAGTACAAGCCCGTCTTAGCTCTGTCTCCCTTCTTAACAGTCGGTGAGGGGTTCCCATACTGATGGTACCTGTCACAACCCTGTGAGTACAGTCAGTGGCGGAATGTACCACACCGTAAGGTGTGCGTGTTGAGGTGACACCCCAGGGTTGACACAAAGGTCAGGGCCGTGACTGGGCACGTCCGTTTTGTCATTGCACAGCGAAACCAGCGCTCAGGATAAAGCAAGAAAGAGTGAACCCTGTTGTGGACAAATCTGCAACACGATTACGGCTTTTGGGACTGAGCTGGTGAACGGGGTCAAGAGACACGAGGGAGAGAGAACGGGACATTCGGTGTGCGTCGGTCAGGAAGAGAGGACGTTTAGCAAGACAGTTATAGTATTAGAGTTAGGATATTTCGGTTAGTGACTGGATAGTTTATGTACAGTTTTATGTTAGGATAGGACAGTTCTTGTGTAGAGTATTTATGTACATGTGCTGTGAGAGAGTGGCTAACCTTGGCACTCTGACCCTGTGCTAGACAGAGGCTGTGGCAGTTTGATTGGGTCAGCGTGGCGATAGAAAAGTACGTATCTCGCCGGGCTGTGGTATGTACACCAAGAGATTGCCTGTAGCATGTACTGGGTGACGAGGCGATTATAAAGCCCGTTCGGCCAGAGGGTCCAGGCAATAGGTGGCCACACAGCGGGAAGTCAACTGTCTATGTATTACCTGTACTTCCAATAAAGATTGTCGTGTGTGCTCTGTGTGCGTTCGGGTTCAGTGTGTGTAAAGGTTAGTTTGTCTGTCATAGGCCCAGTTACGAGCCACGGACCAGCAAGGTCACCCAGAGGTCTGTGACAGTACCCGTTGTCATCTGGTTAACTACCCGTTGTCATCTGGTTAACTACCCGTTGTCATCTGGTTAACTACCCGTTGTCATCTGGTTAACTACCCGTTGTCATCTTGTTAACTACCCGTTGTCATCTGGTTACCTACTTGTCTTGCCCACCCCCACCCCCTTCCTCGAGTCTCCATTGGCGCCAAGAGCCCACATAGACTCATTGCCGGATCATTCTGTGCAAGAGGGTCTTTTCCGTACCTTCCATTTAACTTCGTCCTTCAGGTGATAGAGAAAGAAAGACAAAGAGTAATAGAGAGAAAAAGAGAGACAGAGAGAAAGAGAAGTAGAAAGAGAAAGAGAGAGAAATAAAGAGAAAGAATAAGATATAAGAAAATTGAACAAGAGAGATAGAAAAAGAGAAATATCACTTCTGCCTTATGCAGCTGCCCTACACGCCAAACTGGGGCAGTATGAGCAAGGAGAGTTTACCGAACAGTTAGATGATCCGGGAGGATCATCATCATCATCAGATGCCTTGCCGACTGGCGTGGGCGATCATGCCTCCTCACAATAAAAAATCTCCTGCAGCATGTATCAGTTCGTGTGCCGACACACCTCCATGTCATGCAACAAGACTGTCAAGAATCATCTCTCGTTGTCTTCCCCTGTCCCTCCTTCCACATATCTTTCCAGTGGTCACAACATGTTCTTTTTTTCCCTCTTCTCATAACATGGCCGAAAAATGATGACTGTCTCCTTCTGATGTCTGTGATAAGTTGTCTTCGGGGTCCCGCCTCTTTCAAAACCTCTTGATTGCTCGTTTTGGCTGTCCAAGGTATTCTAAGCATTCTCCTGTAACGCCACATCTCTGAGGCCTCAAGAAATTGTTTTGTCTTTTTATACACAACATAGTATTATAAATATACCTGTATATTTATTTGCAGTCGATCATCGTGATCATAATCATATTATTTTTTTTTTCTTATTAGTGTTACTAATATTTTTGTTATTATTATGATGATTATTATTACTATTTATTATGATATCTTTTTTGTTGTTGAAAAAAAGAGCGGTACTCACCATAAATTGTGTGTAAAGGCAGCCGGTACTCACCCCAAAGTGGATATACACAAGCGCTAAAAGAATTACCTAAAAAGTCCCAATTATTATTAAGTAAAGGACCCTTTTCTATGTCTATAGGGCGCAACGGGCTATACCTATTTTTATAGACTAATCGGCACAAGATGTGTGACGTGGTCAGCATCACGCTCGCCGCCTTTACTTCCCGGGACTACACCCGGTACCCATTCAAGGCTGGGTCGACTTGAGACTTAATTAATTATTACTATCATTATTACTAAACTCATAACTTTGGCCTCTCAAACCACTCTCACCCCCCCCCCACCCCTACCCACCCCTGACATTTGGGAAAGAAGTCGAAACCCGTCTCACTGCCCTACAGTGGTGTCTTTATTGTGGATTCCCTGCTGTTTCCGTATGTTGCTTAGCCCTTATTTGTGTAGTTTCGTAATTTCTACATGTGTAGTTTTTATGTCGGCTGGGAGCTCTTTTGGCAACAGACAGGCAACACTTCGGTAAGGAATTTCCACTACCTTTATTGTTAGTATTATTATTTTTATTTTTATTGTTTTTTTTTTATTATTATTATTATTATTATTATTATTATTATTATTATTATTATTATTATTATTATTATTATTATTATTATTATTATTACTATTATTATTATTATTATTATTATTATTATTATAGAACCATTTTTGTGATTGCAAATTGTATATCTATGATTTTTTTGTGTATATATCTTTGGATCAGAGGGTTTCAACCTGTATGGTAAAGCATCGCAGAATCTACTCACGAATAGCACGTGAGGGTGCACCTGTGTATGTTCGTTATTTTATTGTTATTAGTTTGATAGATGATCTTCTCAGGACACACCAAGGTTCGAACCATTTGCACCTCTAAAACGTGACGCTGAAAAGTACAATAGGAATTATAGGAAAGGGAAAAAAATAAAGTTAGCTGCTGGAACAGAACCAGTTTCTAGTGAACGACGGTGTTCTGCATGTGTTATGATGGT